ACCAAAAAATCCTTGGAGAGCGGATTGTTACAGAAGAGAATCATTGTTTCCCTTCTGTATTTTGATCTTTTCTCCTTTTCTTTTCTTCCTCTCGATAGATGCGTTCCCGGGCATGTGCCAACCATATTTTAATTGTAGAAGACATCTGTTCATCTTTCGCAGATTCATGTGCGTTTCTTAAAACTTCTGCAAAAACAAATTTTCAAATTATTTTCTTATCAAAGAAAAAAATATTTTTATTTTTTGTCACAAGTTTGATACATAATGTGATTTAAATTAAGAAGTAATAATTAATTTTATTTTTCATATATTTATATAAATTTGATGCACAATTGAGAGGTTAATATTATTATTATCTATTTTAAAATTTTTCAAATTTCTTATAACAAAAACAAATTAACAGTATTAGTATTTACAAACATTCAAATTCAGAAAGAATTTTAGCATTTTGTAATATTAATAAAAAAGAAAAACATTTTTTAAGTCTTTATTTCTGATTATTGTACTTACTTAAAATTACTTGGCACAAATGTAGCTTTGAAAAATTTTTTTTTTGTTTGGCACCCTGCCAGCTGAATAATACCGCAACTTCATTGGAAACTATTTGTCTCATTAAACATAGGCACGATTGTTTAACTTCTTGTGCAGTTAATCGTGCTAACTGTCTGATCTAAAATAATAATGTTAAATAACCAAATTAATGCAAATATTATCAATGGTAAGTATAGCAATTGAAATAATTGTTTTTTTTCGAGGCGTTACTAAACATAATGCCTAATTAAAAAAGTGACTTTTTTAATTAGGAATTAACAATTTTTGCATTGTACAGTGTTATTCATTTTTAAAACAAACTTTGTAATATACAAGATATTTACCATTTCGTTTCGATACGAAATATCAGTTCCAAGTTTTGCTTCCATTGTGTCTAATTCGTTTTTATTTTTGATGGGGAGATCTTGAAAAATGTCAATTCTTTCCTGTTCTTCTGGTAGTGCCGTTGGCATCTTGTTGTCTACAAGTTGCTTTAGTCGTTTTGTGACGATATTTAGTTTTATTTCAAGATGCTGGAACTTTTGAATGACGTAGCGTTCAAAATCCGATGCTACAAAACGTTCAAATTACATTTATACGTAGTTATATTTATATATTTTGTAAACGGAAACTCTTTTTTATATAATTTTTAATGTATAAATTATTATTTATTGATTATTTTTAAATTATAATTATTTGTATACAAACCTCCTTCATATGTTTTGATTCCATTAAATCTTTTTGGAGAAGAGATATTTACAGTATTATCATTTGTCAACTTGTCATTGCGTTGTTCAACTGGAAACAATAGCAGAAACAATGCTATCACTAATCAAAATAATTTGAAGAAATTATAAACTTATATTTGCCAAAAATTAATTTAAAAAAATAGATGTATTAATATATACAAATTGTTTATGAATTATAAATTAATTGCATACCAACCTTCTTCACATATAACGATTGGACTCATTGATCGTCTTGAGGAAGGAACATTTTCATTGTGACAATCAATGTTTACAAACTTTTCAACACCTCGTTCTTCTGAAAACAATAAGAAAAATGATGTTATCATTGATATTTCAAAACAATTTTAAGACAACTTACATTAACAATAATTATATATATAATTTGTATTAAATGAAAATAAAACATATAAAATAGGAACCAATATTTCTTACAATGCATTCACATTCACATATTAACTATCAGTAAAATACGTATAATACATTTACTAAACATTTTCAGTATTCGCAGTGAATATCGGAATGCTGTCTATGTTATGTACATATATGTATGCATGCATACATACATACAAACGTACATGTATACACAAATACAATAAACACGCAAATGAAATTAAATAGCTTAATTCTAACCTTGATTGGAACTGAAATCCGAATTACTGGTGTATGGAAATAAATTTTTGGCCTGTTGACATTGAGAAATCAAAGTCCGTTCTTGTGCTTTTGAAGTATGTTGTGAATCTGTAGAAAATAGTTTAACATATCATTTAATATTCTGAAATTATTTAAACATACTAGTTTTATGTAAATAAAATTTTTTAAGTAATCGTAAAAAGTAGTAATTATATTTGGATGAATAAATTTATTTTTATACTAANCTTCTTTATACTTTTTGTCCGAATTTGCAAGAGGAACTATTTTTCTATTATACTGCCATTCACTTTCATTTTCACAATTTAGTGTACTGAATTTTTTAGTATTGCACTGTGAATCTGAAATTAAAATAAATATATAATGCATTATTTTTTTATTATTTCTCCATACAATTTTAATTAAATGTTTATTATATACCTACAGTATTGATATAATTAGGCCATAAAGATACACAACAAAATGTGTACCATAATAAATTAAATTTTCTTACTATAATAATATAATAAAATAAAGTAAGTTTCGAGTATTATAAGTAATAAAACTAAGAAAATAAATTATTAAAATAAAGAAATATAAAGCACTTATTCTTTTATCAAATCTATCTTGTTTAATTGTCATGTATTTGGATAAAAAATTACGTACAAAAATCCTCTTCTGCTGTTGCAGTACATGAACTGCAAGATGCAACGACGTTATCGTCTCGTGATGTCTTTATATCAATACTTGTAACATTCTTCAGATCTGTAATTCATGAAGCTTTTTATAACATTACATTTCGATTGTATTCTAATTTTATTCTTTAATCAAAGTTCTTACGTCTATGTAACTGAATTTCTCTCATTTTGGATGTTTTGTTCTCATTTTCTTTGGATGGAGGTTTTGGAAGGGATGAAACAACTTCTTCGTCAGACTCATCGTCGTCGTCATTAGAGCTTGAATATGATTTTGCAGCTCTTTGTTTCCGTGATTTTTTTAAATATTCCTCTTTTTCAGAAGACGTATTTACATCTGATAATTGCTCAGCTAGCTTTAACTTGGTTCGTGCTACTGAATAGTCGGCTGATAAAAATAATACAGTAATAAGCATCATTTTTTGCAATAGTAAACAAAGTAATAAATATATACATACTACATATTAAAATAAATCAGAAAAATGCAAATAATATATTACTTACAACATGTTGCATATATTTTCACAATAGGATGCTCCTGCCAAGTTGAATCGGGTTCTTCCAAATATCTTACTGCTTTGTCAAATCTGCTATTACTTATGTAACAATCTGGCCATTTGGCTCTCTTTAAATCGGTAGTCAACCAAGTTATAGGTATGATTTGAAGTCCGTCTAGAAATTCAACGATTACATACTTCTTCTTCTTATCGGCCATTCTGCGAGGAAAGGAATGAAAATCAAGTATTGCAATGTATAAGAGGAAAAATGGCAAACTTGTTGTTTTCATCTGGAAATTTAACGTTTTTTTTT